GAAACGAGAGAGGGCGGGAAAAGAAAAAAAAAAAAAAGAAAACTGGTAACAAGATGATGACCGCGGAGGAACCTGAATGAATAGAACGGAAGAGAGAAAACGGAATGATCGATATTCTTTTTCTTTTTTTCTTCTTAATGAAAAATACTTATCGAGAGGAGAGCTCGAGGACAGAGGAAATCCCCAGCTCCTCTGGGATCTCGAGACGAGGACATTTCACCCCTGTATCTTGAAGAGAAACGAGTAATCAAGTATAGGACCATGGTTCATGATCAACAGAATTAACATAGAAAATATTGAAATACCGAATTAGGTAGCAGAAAGTATTGTTATCTTTCGGTAATTCAATGTCATCCTTGGGAACGATGCCGGAATTTTCCAGTAACGCAGCAAAGATTGAATGGGTTAAAGGCAACAGCTCTCAGGTGCATCGACCTATTAACAGGTGGATTATGCGGTTCTTTAGGCACTACGGAGGTTAGGCAAACTCAGCCAGAAAGAATTACGATTGCTTTCGCTATACTTTCTCTCGACGAGAGTTCTCTAACGATAGCAAAACTGGTCTGGACTCAGACATCCAGGAATCAAGTCGTTCAGATTATCCTGAAAGTTTTCTACTAATCGTTTATTGAACCGTCTCCTTGGTGGAAAAAATGTAACTCACGCGAGCAAATTGTCTCGTTGTAATAATTTATAGGAAGAAAACTTTTATGCCAAAGGTATAATTGACGAGGTAGAAAGAAGCTTTGACTACTTTGTCTCATCTTGTCTTCGAGGAACCTTTAGCGACCTTTGTCCTTGAGTGACCTTTGAATAACCTTTCAAACGAGTTCAATGATCGTGTATCTATGGAATCTCTCCTGAGATCACTTTCATCTCGTCAGTTTTTTTTTTTTTTTTTTTTTTTTTTATAATTTTTTTTTTTTTTTTTTTTTTTTTTGAGAAATTGTAGACATAAGAAATGTTGTAAGAATTATAACAACAGAATACCTTTAATCAGAAATTTTAATTTAGTTCTATTTAATTGAAAAGTGATTGGAAATAAAGAGATAGATCTGTCACTGCTTGTACGACGAAGACGTCCAGTTGAACGCCACCCTTATCATATTTATCGATATGATATTTAATTACGATTACGCGGCTTAAAAATTACTATTAGATACGATTGGAACAATCTCCTAACGTATTCGTTTTACACTTTTAGGAAGCAATGTGAAAAACAATTGTTATTATCGAGCTAGGATGATCCCCGTGACCAGAAAAATGATCATCTGGTTGAATATTCTGGTTGTCTGACTTCCTGAAATGGAAAATAATTTTATTTAGAACAGTATATACAATATAAATTCTAAAATCTTTCTAAATAATTGAGAATATTTTAAAACGTTGTCTCGTTTCAATTATTTTATAAACTGATTCCTGAAGGAATGATGTTAACCTTTTAGAATTATTTGGGCATAGATGAATAATGTAGGGATAATATTTAAAACCAACATTATTATTCCAAGCAGAAATTGAGAGGAAAACAAAATTGAATCTTAATACTGCTTTTATAACATGAGTAGAAAGAGAGCAAACAAAAGCTATAGTTTCTTTCAAACAAAAATTATAGTTTTTCTGTTCATTCAACATTAGTTTCTGCTTCTCTCTTGTTTCATACTCATCTTCAAGACATTTCAAATTGGATTGTATTGACAGTAACTTTCTATTCTATTTGAACAGAAGAACCTGACCTGTTTGTCCAATCAATCAAATTATCAAATCTAGCTTTGTATCAATGAAGAAAAATCTCTTCGACTTTGGAAAATACACTACTTTTCAAGCATAATTAAATATAAAGTCTGAAATAATGATGTTATTCAATTTTTATGATATATAACGTGTTATAATATATACATATATATGTATATATTATTGTATCATTATATATGTGTGTGTGTGTATGTATATTATATAATTATGAGTTCAATCTTTACTTGACGTTACTATTACCCGCGTGGCCTTGTTTTCTCGATAAATGCCATTAACCCCCTCAATTGAACACTTTTCGGTTGGGTTAATTATCACTCGGCTATAGCTACTTGTTTGATCGATGAATTATTTATCTAGTCCAAAACGGGCAAGTGTTTAATCGTGAGCCAATTAACCTATAATGTATTCAATTTCCCGATTTGTTTGAAAATAGTGGCCCGTAGTAAATTTTGCATGGATTTCAGAAAATTAGGAGCGACGAGAAAAAGAAAACAGCAATCGGAGATAGGGAATTTCCAAATTAGTTTCAAAGCATTGTCTTGGAAAAATTCGTATCCCTATATTTTCAATATCTTCTCTTTCATATAGAATCATTTCCCTCTGTTGGTTATTGCACCCGGGGTATATATCAAAATCCTTAAGATTGACTAAATTTTACACCTGCTAGAAACAAATGTTCACATTCACGAAGAAGAAGTAGAAAAAAAAAAAAAAAGAAAAGAAAAGAAATCTCTAGGCTGTGACATCGAGAGAGCTTCCAGTTAAACGTTTAACCAAAACGAGGGGGTGGAGATTTTACCATTGATTAAGTCGTTGCGAGTGTGGCTCTGCGCCCTGGTCTCGCGGCTCTCCATCACCGGGGCTTTCAGGATCCTCTCATCTCCTTCCACGCTCTCCTCCTTGCTCTGCAGATAGACGGTCGCTATTGTGGCCAAGCACTTGAGCTTCATGTCGCCTCGCTTGAAGTGTTTGTTGGCCACGCGAAACTCCAAGCCCAATACCGCGGTCTCCAAGCCCTTCTCGTCCACGGCGGTAATGTGCGGTCCCTTCAGGTACTGGGTATCGGCCTGAAAGAGCCCCGGAGTCGATTGTTTTCGTCACAATTGGAAAACTGGACGCACAGAGAAAACGCTTGGCGGTTTCGACTGCGAGTGCGCGATTACAGTTGCGCTTTGTGTGCGCGCTGTTACCGCTGCTTCTTTTCAGATCGGCGGCCGCCCCTTCGGCCCGGGCTTTTGTCGTGATTACGCGGAACTTCTTTGCTCATTGGAATTAGCCACAAAGACGGAAATTGTCTGGGTACAGGGGCGGACCGGCGGATGTCGCCACCGGTCAGGTTTTTACAGGTTCTCTTTGCCTAGTTTCAGAATTTTAAATTGCCTTGGTACATCGTTGTTCGTGGTTCTGAAAGGAGAGAATGGGAAATAGGGCGTAGAATGGGGAAAAGAGAGAAAAAGGGAAGAGTAAAGAAAGATGGTTGGATGGCTGGCGAGGGGGAGAGAGGGAGGAATAAGAACGGAGGGGATGGGAGAAGCAGAGAGGAAAAATGGAACGTTTAATACCGCTCTGTGTTCTCCTTGGATCTATATTACTTGGGAAAGGGATATCATAATTCATAATCGGCATTATCAACATACATTTAATTTTCAAATATTTGACTTCTAGTATTTGTGGTGTAATTCGACCATCCTCTGGATGTATCACGTTTCTTGTGAACGAAGTACGTACGTAGCTCGTTCGAGAAACGAATGTTTGAAGAAGCAAGAACAGCAGCGTTAAATTGAAAAGAAGGAAGAAAGGGAGAAGAGCGAGGGAGAACCAGTGTTTTATAACTTGGGGCTAATTTGACGAATTACGCGTCTGCGGTAGATTGGTACAAACCCATAAATCCACATAGAGACACAGTGGTGGTAGTAGTTGAGTTTTCATCGCGGAATTAGAGAGCGCGGACATTAGGGTGGGACCTTTTTTTTTTTTTTTTTTTTATACGAGCTACTTACCGCATCGCCGTTGATGAACCAAGTTAACAGGGCGGCCGGTTTCGAGGGTGCGGATGTGCAGTTCATGCGAACGACATCCCCTACTTGGTAGCGGGATCGACCACCGGTTATTCGTGGCCCTTCGTCAGGAAGAACTGCAAAGAGGGCAATTTTCACCTTTTTCTTTTTTCCTTTTTCTATTAGTCGGGCACTCCTTCCCCGCGATTTAGGAGAACCAAAGTGCATCAGTATCAGAGAGAGTCTAAAATTATATTTTTGCAAATGTAAATCCTCATGAATTCTATTCGAAAGTATCCCCCAATTCTATGAAATTTTTAAATTCCATTCCTCCGTAATTATTCTCTTGCGCTGGAATGACGTTCCACGCACGTCGAGAATATTTTGCCCCAATTTGCAACATTTTCTCAGTTTTATGTATATTTAAGTATAACTCTAGGCAAAACAAAGGATAAGTTGATTGCTTCTTAGTCATTTCGATCCAGTCATATCATACCGACGAGTGCAAAAGAAAAAGAAAGCGACGAATTATTGTAATACGGTTCGGTCACTCGTTATGGTCCGCGAACCAGTTGCCAGCGCGCAAGGTGTTAAGCAGCAATTTGCCGAGAATAAACTCGCGTCGTGTGTGTGGTGACACATCCTGCTGAATGTTTCGTCGCCCCCGGTGGGATAATCGACAGTTTACCAGTCGGATATTAATTAATAAATTTGCTTACCTACTACCGTCATGTCTGCGTGATCGGATACGGTTTGGAAGGCAGGCGCTTCGGCAGAGACCTCGCATCGATACCTCCCCGAGCTAGTAAGATTCACGTTGTTCAGTACCACCGATATCTCCGTGGAATTGTGTATCTGGAATCGTGGATCGTCGCGTCGGTTGATTCCAATCTTTCAGCGATGAGGAGGAGGAGGAGGAGGAGGAGGAGGAGGATCGATTGATATTCCCAGTTAGATGTACTACTCACGTTCACGTTCACGCCGGGTACACGGAAGGTTTGAACCATGGGCACGTCCCTGGGCACGTAACGATAAAACTCGTGGCCATCTTTGTACCATTTCACTGAGTACAATAGCTCTTTGTCCAGGTTGAAGTTGCACTGCATACGGACAGTCTCGTTCAGAACGACGTGCTGCGGTATCTGTAGGGCTGTCATACGAAGAGCCATGATACCTGCGAAAGAGTTTCAATCGTGCTTGCAATTTTGCTTTTTACCCGCGCAATTTTCGTCTTTTGTCAGACGGTATAATAGTTTCTTTTTTTGAGAGAGCGAGAGAGGGGGGGAAGGGGAAAGGGAAATTTCGCGCGCGAAATTTTCTTCTTTGCAAGCCTAGATTCATGTTTCGAATAGTTCTCGCGGAAATATTTCGGAAGTCAGATTCAACGTTAGGCTCGACTCTGATAGAATTCGTGGATTTCAATCGCGACTGGACCGCGGATTTTTGCCACATTCCTGGAAAATTTAAGGATTTAACGGCACGAGATATGTAAAATACGTAAAATGATGAAACAAACTTTTTTTTCTTTCTCTTTTGTATTTTTACTAAAATATAAATTCGCAGTCGGGTCTCACTGATATAATGCTAACAAATGTTACTGCAAAAATCTCTGAACGCTGTACGAACCTGATAGTAACGTGAGATCTACGTGCGTCTGACTACATACGCGTCCACGCTACTTAATTCCGCCATCTGGCGGTCCGAAGCTCGTACTAAACATACTACTATTCCCAAAAAGATCATCTCGAAGATGAAAACCAATCGAGGGACGCGAGACAAAACTCTTGCTCCCGGCGTTGCATCGCCGAGTAGAATGTCCGTAACTACATCGCAGCCAAGTCTTCGTAGCTGATCCTCTTATGCAGTAAGCTTCTTAAAATTACCTGTGATCGAACGGAAAATACGTTGCGGAACTAAGCGAATGCCTCTCCTTTTGGAAACGGTATTTGATCATGGGCGCCCCCGTGGCTCCTCCTCTTCTACTATGATAGATATCGGTGGGGTAGGGTTATTGGAAACGATGCAGGGAACAATTAAATTACATTGTCGACCGAGTGAAAAATCAACGATTTTCTCCAGTCGGGTATTCAATACGAGGATCGTACTCTGCCTTCTCCTCCCTCCCGCCCTCTTTCATTTCGTCGGGCCGATTGGACCGATGGAAAAATCGACAAAAGTGAGTTAAGTGTTAAAACCTTATCGAGAGGAAGCTCCCTTTCATTTTCTATTATTCCGATTTCCTCGTTCGGGTCGTTATTTGCAATACCCACCAAACCATTAAATACCCACTCGAGAATCGGTGGTTGCAGATTTTTTTTTTCTCTCCTTTTTTTTCAAGTGGCCTTAATTAACTTCCCCGATCCGTTTCACTGCATCTTTTTTTTTTTTTTTTTGCTCCTTCCTACAGAAACAACGTTTTCTTTTTTTTATTTTTACCCCTCCATGATGATCTCGTCTTGCACTCGTGTTCGTTATTTAGATTTTTTTTTTTTTTTTTAATTTTTAAAGGGTATTCGTGGTCGATAAGGAAGGTTGCTTTCCTGTTGACCGTGATCAAGGAGTAAGGGAACATTGTAGGTCAGACCGGTATAAATTGCGGTATTTTCGGTCGGGTTTCCGTCAGATACGGCCACGTTTATTGGAAACGCGTCGTACCATTCGAGATGGGAATAGGACGGAAGGAATCTTGGACGATGAACATCAATATCCCACGTGGTTGAAATAGATCGTGGCTCGAAATAGAGGGTGGAAATTGTATCTAACACCAAATTGCTCTGCCTAACCCTTCTCAGGCACGATTAAAACTGATAATCATACCGAATGTTCAATGAAATTCATTCGCTGTCGAGAATATTCAAAAAATTTCAAACATGTCGTGGAGACATCAGAAATTTCATAAAATCGTTCAGTCGTTTGACTTAACGAGGGAAAAAGTTCACGTATTGGAATAAATAATTTTGTTGGGAAAGTTAACCTCTTGCGGAATGACGTGCCATGCACGTCGATAATATTTGACCCAAAATTGTAATATTTTCTCAGTTTCTAAGTATATTGAAATATAACCCAGGCAAAACAAATAATAAATTTATTACTTCTTGATAATTTCTATCCAGTGATATACCGAGGAATTCAAAAAGAAGAGGCATTATTGTATACGGTTCGGTCACTCGTTATGGTCCGCGAACCAGCTACTAGCGCAAGAGGTTAACCTCTTGAATATTAGCGAATATTTGCCCCTTCAATTGCAATAATTTCTCAGTTTTAAGTATATTGAAATATAACCCGGGCGAAACAAATAATAAATTTATTACTTCTACTTAGCAATTTCTATCCAGTGATATACCGATGAATCTAAAAAAAGAAGAGGCATTATTGTATACGGTTCGGTCACTCGTTATGGTCCGCGGACCAGCTACTGGCGCAAGAGAAGAGTGAAACATTCACGATCTACGGATCAGGTGGACGCCTGGCGTCACGACGCTGGTCGCACGTGCTCGTGACGGACACGGGACACGGTCGATTTAATTAAAGGCAATCGGACAAGGGTTGGACGAACCTGTCCGAGAGAGGAGGTTAATCAGCAGTCAGATATATACACTCGGATTATTTATCGGTATTATCGCTTGATATTATGCGCTTATGCCTCGAATTAAACGTTACACGGCCACACCGCGTTAATTTTCGCCTCGCGTGTTTCACTCGTATTTTTTCGAGTCTCGAATTATCGAATTTTCTGCCACGGCACTCGTACGTTAATACACACACGCACGCGCGCGTGATATGCGTTTCGAGTAAGTAGGAAGTTTAGTGCCTGGCGATTACCGTGGCTCGAGAATTAGTCATTGCATTCAGAGGTGCATTTAAAAATTAAAATTCGTGCTGGATCGTAACGAAAGATGTTATTTGTTCTAACCGAGCACAATTTCGACACTATGTCTAACTCGATCGGATCTAGATTCAAGATTTAACACAATCTAATCAATTCAACAATTAACCACTCTTGCGCTGGAATTACGTGCCACGCACGTCGAGGATTTTTTTGTCCTAACATTGCAATATTTTCTCAGTTTTGAATATATTTAAGTACAACCCAGGGCAAAGCAAGTAATAAATTTATTGCTTCTCAATAATTTCTATCCAGTGATATCGTGCCGACGAGTACAAAAGGAAAAGAAGGCGACGAATTATTGTGTATGGTTCGGGTCACTCGTTATGGTCCGCAATCAATTGCCGGCGCAAAGTGGTTAAATTGCATTTCTAGAGCGATCTTAATATCATTGAACTTTTGATTTGATCTAACTCCATTGTTAATTTCTATCTAGAGAGGACTGTATAATCTAAAATTAAATATTTGAAGTTTAATTCGAAATAAATTATTACGTTCAACCCAACGATGCTGTTTGCGAGTTGATTTTATTTAGATTCAAATGTAAACCCGATCTTGACTTAATATGCGGGAATGGGCGCGTAATTTTGATTTACTTGAGACTATCCTCGACTCAGTTTAAACTTAACCTAGATTGACGAGACCCCCAAATTTGGCCCAATTCACTGTTTTGCACGATGTTAATTAAGGAAGTGTCCCTGACACTTGAAGGCTTTCGCGTGCTTCAACAATAAATTCTGAATTTCGAAGTAATATATATATATATATTTTTAATTATTTTTAAAAACAATCAATCCGCGTGCATCCAACGGACTTCAATCCGAATTTCCCCACAGTTTCCTAGCTTTGAATTTCCAATTTTTTTCAAAATTCGGTTAACACCGACAAAATTACAGAGAATCGAGTGTATTCGAGGCGAAACCGCGCTTACGTGTACTTCAAAAGTTTCCGGAGTTTTAGAAAACGCAGTCAGGCCGCCGCACAATGGTGGAAGTGTAATTTCCTTGTTCGTGGAATTAGGGAGGTTAGAGAAAGAATGAATGAACGGGCGAGGGCGCGTCGAGTTGCGCGAGAGAAGGGGAGAGGGGAGAAAGAGAGGTCGACCGCGACGTATTGTTTTATTTAAACGGGCTCGAAGTTTAGTGTCAGTTCACCGGCGAGCTTTATTGGAAATTGAGCCAATTAGAGTACTCGAGTTAACGACCTATCGTAATACGCTTTCGCGAGGCCTTTCGACGGTTACGTCGTCCTGTTGGCCCCCTCCCCCTCCCCCTCCCCCCGTCTTTAAACGAACGTGACATCACGAACCGCTTTACGCGCGCCCGTATATCTGCTCGTTTCTTGATTGGGAATGGTCCTGGAGACGATTAACCGACACTCGAAAAAAGTCGTCGACTCTGTCGTTCTTTTCTCGTTCGACCATCACTGTCTTTTTTTTTTTTTTTTTTTTTTTTGCCATTTACTAACGCGAAGTTTCGCCTTCGTTTCGAATGGAAATTTAATGAGATAAACATTTGTTCCGTGAAATTAATTACGCGGACTGAACCTACCCTGCGATCTGAAAATATTAACCTCTTGCGCTGGAATAACGTGCAATTGTGTTGCAAATTGCAATAGTTTCTCAGTTCTCAAGTAATGTTTAAATTTACAAACGATAAGTATTATTACTTCGTAATAGACGAGTTCAGAAGAAAAAGAATGCGACGAATTGGTTGTATACGGTTCGGTTACTCGTTACGGTCCGCGAATCCAGTTGCCAGCGCAAAGGGGTTGAATTTGACTTTTTTTTTTTTTTTTTTTTGAGAAAATTGTTAGAAAATTCGAAATAAATTCCGAACAAATGCCCGGAATGGGGAGGAGAGAAATTAAAAAAGAAAAAATTATCCAACTCGAATGACGAGCCTGAGGTTCGCAGTGGTAAAATTAAAATTCGACAAGAATCCGTTCGCCGTTTGGTGTTATTCGTATACGGAGAGAGTGTATTCACTTTTCCGCTTATTCTGCTGGACTTCCGCGTCCCGAGAATCCTATTTCTATCCGTCGACAAAAGCGGATCCTATCTAAATGTCTGTTGGTTACCGTATTACCGCCATTCTCTCACGGGAAGTTCGCGCTCCCTGTGACCAAGGAAACTTCTGTCCCGCTCTTTTGAATGGCGCACGGTATACACCGACCCGTTCAACGTTGAAAATAGACCCTTAATTCTCATTTGCCTGTTTAACGTCCTGGCAACTTTAAATAAACGACAGAGCCAACAAAGGGGAACGTCAACCGAGCTCTACCGAGAATTCGAGAATCTTCTTTAGTCGCGAAGATTCTGCCATTTAAACACTTTCTGCACAATCTGCACTTACCGCGATCTGCAGTCGAACGGAATTTTTCCAAATCGAATCGAATTGGAATGGTGGATTTCGTGGACAGAGTTCTCTCTAACTGGGAATCGAAGATTGACGATCACAGTCAGAGGGGAGATGGAATTACCACGGAGCCTCCACGTGGACTAAGGAAGATCGACGCGCTTAGGATATTGGAATTACGCAAATTACACGCGCCGAACGCGGAAATCGATGTGGTTCGGATGCCACGGGCCCATTGGCCGTCGTGCAAACATCCAAACAATGCGAGTAGCCGCGTGGGGCTCGAGTATCGGTTCAAATATTGACTAGCGATATCTTTAGCCGGCAATTAACGCGATGGGCCGGTGTTGAATATTTATTCTTCTAACCAACTGAAACCTGAAACACACCGATTATCCTTTCTCGTCGAAGGAATCCAACAACGTCCTAGTCTACATTGCCCTAAGTTCAGTATGGTACCATTTTACGAAAACACAACTTCAACTTGCCTCGAAGCTAACCGAAACCTAAAACACATCAGTTATTTTTTGTCATCGAATAAATCCAACGTCCATTATCCTAACAACGTCTTAGCCTACGTTATCCTAAGCTCAATATGGTACCATTTTGTGAAAACACAACTTCAACTTGCCTCGAAGCTAACCGAAAACACATTAATTATTTTTTGTCGTCGTCGAAGAAATTCAACGTCCATCATCCTAACAACGTCCTAGTCTACATTGTTCTAAGCTCAGTATGGTACCATTTTACGGAACACACAACTTCAACTTGCCTCGAAGCTAACCGAAACCTAAAACACATCAATTATTTTTTGTCATCGTCGAAGAAATCCAACATCCATCATCCTAACAACGTGCTAGTCTACATTGTCCTAAGCTCAATATGGTACCATTTTACGAAACACACAACTTCAACTTGCCTCGAAGCTAACCGAAACCTAAAACACATCAGTTATTTTTTGTCATCGAATAAATCCAACGTCCATTATCCTAACAACGTCTTAGCCTACGTTATTCTAAGCTCAATATGGTACCATTTTGTGAAAACACAACTTCAACTTGCCTCGAAGCTAACCGAAAACACATTAATTATTTTTTGTCGTCGTCGAAGAAATCCAACGTCCATCATCCTAACAACGTCCTAGTCTACATTGTTCTAAGCTCAGTATGGTACCATTTTACGGAACATACAACTTCAACTTGCCTCGAAGCTAACCGAAACCTAAAACACATCAATTATTTTTTGTCATCGTCGAAGAAATCCAACATCCATCATCCTAACAACGTGCTAGTCTACGTTGTCCTAAGCTCAATATGGTACCATTTTACGAAACACACAACTTCAACTTGCCTCGAAGCTAACCGAAACGTAAAACACATCAATTATTTTTTGTCATCGAATAAATCCAACGTCCATCATTCTAACAACGTCCTAGATTACGTTATCCTAAGTTCAATGTGGTGCCATTTCACGAAATAACCTCAACAAACCTACAACTGCGAATCTCCTTTAAGAATCCGACATCCATCCTTGAAAACACCATCATCCTACCTGTCCCACTCCACTTTGGAAAACGTCGAGTTTTAACAGAGGATACAATTTCGGATTGCAGAACCAGGATTTCGACCATTTGGACAGATTTGGAGGTTCGTTTCGTCGTCGAAGAGAGGAGGACCTTCTCGTGGAACGGGATAGGTGGTACGGACGCCGACAAGAGGGAAGTTCCTACCTGAATGGAACGCGAACGCGAGGAGCGCGATGAGACTGGACAGCAGGGTCCTGTGGTTCACCGGGAACGGCATCCTCTCTGGCGACCCCATGGACCGTGGACCCATTCGAAGATCACGTCACTGGCCGCCCATCCTCTCCGCTCGTTTTGGCACACTGTTCACGCACACGAGACTTGAAATCGATCTCTCTCTCTGTCTGTCTGTTTGTCCACCAGGTGTACACCTCGATCACGACGACGAGTATACGAATACGAGTACGAGTACGAGGACTACGACTACGATCACGGAGGGAAACACCGACGTGTATGGCGTAAAAGCGGAGGCGCACGAGGCACCCGGGCGGAGCGACCTTCGGGAACGGTCAGCAGGTGTCGGAGCGGCACATTATTTTCCACGTTCCGCGCGGACTAATTGAAAATCTATACGGGCCAAAGAGGCAGTCGCTACTGCGGCATATCGGCACACACCAGCAGAGGGAACCCTGGAGGTGCTGGTGTGTTGCTGCTGCTGCTGCTGCTGCTGCTGATGCCGCCGCTGCTGCTGCTACCACTGTGATGTTCTCTTGCTAGTGTGGTGGTGGTGGTGGTGGTCCAATGGTGGTGGTGGAGGTGCTGCTGCTCTGGTAGCGATAGAGACAGCTTCGACGGTTGGAACGTTCGGACGGGTTGGCGGAGAAAGGACGAAGGAGCGGCCGGGAGCCAGAGGAGCGAGGAGCGACGAAGGCAGCTGCCGGACCGGCACGATTGACCGAGACAGGGCGAGCTCTTCGTGCCGCTGTTGCTACGCATGCGCCAGCTACCCAAGTCGATGATCGCTGCAAAATTCTCCGTCTCGCTCTGCCGCTGCGCGCGAGGCTACCTCGCGTTTTCGCTGCGTTGCGTGTGTGCAGGCGCTAACGAAATTGGGGGGGAAATACGCTACGCTCCGGGCGACCCGCTCCCGGCGACTCTTCCACCAGGAATTATACGGATTTTTGCTGCTAGTTGATTGTTTCCCTTCGCCTTTTTTCTTTCCACCGTATTGTTGTTGTTATCATCGCCGGTAGTATAACACGGCTGGCTCTGATACATGATTAATGGGGATGGATGAGGTAGCCAGGTTGGTTCGCTTTATTATTGGTAATAATTTCCAGGTGATTGTAGGTTATGGGCTGAACGTGATTCCATTCGTGGAAATGGTATACTCTCTGGAATGAGTGAATGTAAGGGTTCTCCAGTTTATGGAATAATATCAATTTTTCGTGTCGTGTGCGTGCCCGTACTCGTGATTCGAAGATTCACGAACGTGTCTGTAAATTTTGCGGCCAGGAACGGCGCGGTACATATATTTGTCGTCTGAATCGTTGTAACTTTAATCGAGGAAAAGATTAAGGGGAGGCTTGGTTAGTCCAGGCTGCGCGGAATGGTTCTGGATACAGTACATGGACAGAAGTTTTGTATAAATAATACAGTCAACCTAATTCACCGTGCAGAGAGAGGGGGAGAGAGCGAGAGCGGTGGCGATTACGAAATGATGGTTCTCGGCACGGCTGACCCCTCGCGGACCCATTCTACTTGCTCGGTGTTCCCGGCATTTTCAAATTCAATTTCCTCCGCGAGGAAGCCTCTCTCGCACGTAAAAAGCACGCGAGGCCTTGCTTTTTCCATCACGATTTTTCTTCAATCATCTTTTCGTCTCGATTTTTGTTCCAAGCTTATGGCTCGTCGCTGAACGAATCGTTCACGGTATGTACATTGAATGAGAGGGTAAACGATAGTCCATCGTTGCAAAGATGCTCGGTTGTGGTACCTAATTTGAAAAATTTAGGGTACGTAACTTTGTAAAGAAAATTAGAAATTCGAAAGTAAAGTAATTTGATCCTGCAGACCAATGTTAGACACCTACAAATATAAAGTATAAAGATTGTAAGAAATTAACTTGCAAAAGGAAAAGGAAAAAGTTTACAATACAAAAGAGGGCATGAACTTTTGCTCGTGTACTTAACAAAAATTATCCAATTTGCTGAAACTCACAACGGTTGTAAATCAGCAGAATTGTATTCTGAAGAATTATAAATTGGTCATTTTGACCACCTTGTGGGACACACTTGGTAGTTCTAGCTATCAAAAGATTGACCAAGGTAAGACTCCTAGATCCCTAGTATAAAGTATAAAGATTGTAAGAAATTAACTTGCAAAGGGAAAAGGAAAAAGTTTACAATACAAAAGAGGGCATGAACTTTTGCTCGTGTACTTAACAAAAATTATCCAAATCACTGAAACTCACAACGGTTGTGAATCCGCAGAATTATATTTTGAAGAATATAAATTATAAATACTACTTTGACCACTTTTTAGAAGAATTTTATTCTGAAGAATTATAAATTGATCGTTTTGACCACTTTGTGGAACACGCTTCGTAGTTCTTACCGTTTCGTAATTTTCAAAAATTTTGGTCCCCTAAAAATCCTGGCCCCGAAACTTGGCGAATCACTCGGCTAGTCGCCGAAATGAAACGAAACTTCCCAGCATCCCTTTCAAAGAACAGAGGAGGACTGGATCGACTGGATCGAAAACAGGCGGTACGTTTATCGCGGCGTGAATAGCGTAACGCGGATCGCCAGCGTTTGAACAGCGTGAATACAACAAATCAGGCGAATATATCGGCGCCGCGTGTAATATGCGCGCCTGTAATATCCCGTACTTATCCCGGAGGGCTCGACGGTGTGTGCACACGGAGACATCATCCCGCGCGCAGTTTTCCGGATACGGGTCCGGTCTCGCGCTCGTGTTACGTGCTTAGCCGCATTATTCATGGTGGCCCGGCTGCTCGAACTTAAAATTCCCAGCGCGAGGAGCGGCTCGCGTGCTCGTCCGCGCGTAATTTTAATAACGTCGTCCGCGCGGCAACAAACAAGAGAGACGTTCGCCGAAAGCAATGCGCGACTGTTTGGCCGGTGCGTGAAGTGCTCGCTAAATGAGCGACCTCACGCTGGTGTTGAATCCTCGTGGAAAATGCCAGGCTCGGGGTAGGTGTTGATGGTGGTCTGAATTTTTCGACTGAACCTTGTTTCTTGAAAGAGAGAGAGAGCGAGAGAGGTGTACAGACGTGTGAGGTAATAGAAAGGATCACGCAACTTGCAACAGTTTCAAAATGGTCGAAGGTGTAATTAGATGACCCCGGTGTTGTTGCACAGAATGAAGTATGACTTCATTCTTTGGAATAGGGCTGTCTGTATTTTCTTTCTGTCGTTTCTTAAGGCCTGCAGTTGGAGAAGTAGCGTGATCGAGATATCGGACCTAGATCTTTCTTCAGTGAAGACTTCGATTCGAAGACCTAGTCCGGAGACTTTTATATAGACCTAACCCAGATTTAAGGGTTATTTGCTTTACGACAGGTTGGAACACCGCAATTAGCGAGAGAAAAACAGAGGAATTATAGAAGGAATATAATTGTACGACTGTGAAGGATCTAGGTAAAAAATTCATTTGCATATTTGGAATGAGAATGTCCGATTCCAGGGATAGTTAGTAGAAAAGGCCTCGCATGAATTGCGTTTGTATGATGGCAGAAAGTTTATTTATATGTCCTAGAAAACAAAAAAAAAAAAAAAAGAGGAAACGAAAATTGAAATTATTTGACTCTGGTAAAAAGCTTTATACGAAAGCTGCGTTAATCTAACAGTAAGCTCGACTAAAATTGGAGCCGTGGAGAATTAAAACAAGGTACAGTTAACCTTGAAAGGTCTCTAAAGCACCTTCGCTTTCGCGCAAAAATTTTTCATCAAAAATTCACTCCCCCTTCATAGAACGTCTCACTCTCGCTTTATAGAAAATTTTTTACTGTCTTGGACCATTCTTGATCTACGAACGAAATTGAAAGTAACGAAAGCGAAACTTATTTGAATTCTCCGGACATCTTCCTTTCGTTACAGCGACAGTGGTTGTTGTGATGCACTGAATTCCACTGGAACAAAAAATTCAGCGATATTTTAAGCTTCCTCACATGCTGTAAATACTTTGAAAAGAAAAGAAAAAAAAAAAAAAAAAAAAAAAAAAAAAAAAAAAAAAAATAAAAGAAAAAACTGGACCGCTTTGAAATGAGTGACAACGAAATTAATGTTAACATGGTTTATTTTCCATCGTTGTACTCTTCACTGTATTAATAGTCGCGTTTATCAGCGAACGTGCGAGGATTTGGGAAATTTTTCGTCCGAGATACCGATCGGGAGATCCGTGCGGAACGTTTCACACCCCTTTGATCGCTCATTGTGCACGAAAGAGTGCTCCTTAAAGATCTCGAGACAGAGCCCGGCCGACGCCGATAATCGCAAGGAAATTTCGTTGTGCTAACGAGCACCGAAATCGCTGATCAATCTTCCATGGCCTAAGCAGAATGCATGCAGGTCGGCTCTTGGACGATCGCGAGCCAACTTTCGCGTTATCGTGCCTTCTATCTGCCGTTTTTCACGCGCGTATCCCGACCACGAGGGAAGAAGGTCAAGAGTGCCGGGTCAGGGAGAGTAATCGAGGCAAAAACCTCGGCGAGCACATAATTTTCCGAGGCCACCCACGCCTAAGTAACACCGGAATCTGCTGCCCCGCTTTTGATCTCGTCGACGCTCCCGATCCGTGGAATTTTCGCCCGACTAATCGGCTAATTTTTCGTTTTAATTACCGACCAAGTTCGTTCACCTCTTGGACGTTTCAAGTCATCATCGAAAAACGAAGGATAACAATTTCGAATAATCTTCGTCGCTTATCGACTTTACAGCGTGTCTCGTTAACATTGGACTTGGGCTCGATGTAAACCTGGGCTAAGTCCAATCCAGACTTGGCCCGGATTTAACACGAACCGATATGAGACGAGAGATTTAACAGCAATTTAGTCTGAAGTTAATCGACGCTTTCTACTTAATTTTTGAAAGTACAGGTACTTTCGGAACGGATGATTAAAACACGTTTAGTTACGTTTGACGAAGCATACTATCAACTGAGATACTAGACTAGATCTAACCTTGGACGTTGGACCTTTGAATATATAAAACTGAACTGTCGCGTAATTAATCCTCGATTCGGGTTCACTGCAATGGTAAAAATCCCAAGGCCCTTTCTAAATTTGCAACATTTTCTCAGTTTCAAGTATATTTGAAT